TCAAAATTTAATCATGCCTTCAAAAATGTTGAAAAGTGGTCATTAGAGGCAAAAGGCCACAGGATACAATATTCATTTTTCTCTATCTTCCAGTCATCCAGCTGGCATCTATAATGGATATCCTGGGGGCTGTGAGAACACGTTGATTTATGCAACCTCGCTCTTGCTCTCACTGTGGTGCACCAGGCTGCTTTAAAGAACAGGTTTTAACAAGGTCTGAGGTGGGAGGACATTAATCATGGTAGCATTGTATGTGGAAAAGGGTGCTGTGTAGTCAGAAGAACACCCCCTGCAGCAGGGCAGTTAGATTTTTTTCCTAAAGAAAAAAACACCTTCTCAGTGATAAAGAAGAGTTTGACAATTGATTAGACCTTTCTGTAACCTTGCAGTCCTGTGAAATGATGAGAGAGGGAGCGATGGGGTGGGGGCTGGAGAGAGAGAAAGAAAAAGACAGAAGCAGGGGGGAGAGAGAGAGAATGAGGCTCATACTGACAGTTTTAAATGTGCAATAACTTTATGGTTCTTGACTGAAACGGGCTATCAAAATCAGTCCCAACTCAATACAGGCTAAAAAAGAAGATCATTCTCAGTATAAGAGCCCTTTCAACTGCACATGTCAGAGCCAATCACAAGGAGCGGCAGCCTGCAGTGCCTTCCCTTGAAAACTACAGGCTGCATCAGGAAACCTTAATATAAATCTCATCTGATAAGGAGTGACTAAGTTACAATGCAGGATTCATCCAAATCAACTGCAAGGAATTGATTTTCTTCCTGGCAAGGCAGGTTTTAGATTATGCTATTCCTATGGCATTAAGTGTTCTGTTAATTTAAAGGAATGTATTATCTGAGCCAGGTTGCAATAGTATACCCAATAAACATGGCGAGTGTGCAAATCAGGTGCATATTTATTGTTTTATTGACTGCAAAGTGTACTTAAACATACAAATCATGTTGGCAAGTTAATAATCAGTTTTGCTTACAAAATGAAAGCAGGTTGAATGTTTTGAATTGTGCCTCATGCAGGCTGCAGGCAGGGCCCTTGACACAAGGAGTAAGTGCCCACGTTATAACTCACTATGTGGATGACACCAAATACAGACTCACCCAAATTGGTGCTACATCCCATAGACATAATGTCTACAGTGGCATACCTCATGGGTTGCCTCAATAGCATCAAATTGACACCCATCCAGAAATTCCACAAAACCCAGCCAGAACATGCTGACACACACAAGGACAGAATCCAAGTTGTAAAGCACTCTAGATGACCCAGCCTTGGTCAGACTTGCTCCAGGTTAGGAGTGGGCTGGCAAAGTGTCCTGGGTTGGGGTCACTTGTCTTCCCAGCTGCCCCAGCAGTGAATTTTGCTGGCGGCAGTGTCAGAGGCTGGGAAGCTGCCTGCCATAAGAACACCGCAGTGTTGTGAAGTGATGCTGTATCAGGTACATCAGAGACTTGTGGGGAAATCCTAGCCATTGACACCATAACCCCATAGTCAAGTGACCAGATGAGCAAGAGAGCCAGACAGCAACACCAGTGGATCCTTCCAGGGTGCTTATGTCTCAACAGAGGACGGTGCTTGCTGCTGCAAGCCCTGAGCCATGGTGAAGTACTCACTCACAATGTGGAATCCATTACAGTGGTACCTTGGTTTACGAACATAATCTGTTCGGGAAGTCCATTCTTAAACCAAAACCATTCTTAAACCAAGGCGCGCTTTTCCTAATGAGGCCTCCCGCCGAGGGTGCCCTTCCACCATTCAGATTCTGTTCTTAGACTGAGGTAAAGTTCACAAACCGGGACACTACTTCCAGTTTTGCGGAGTTTGTAAACCGAATAGTTCATAAACAGGGTTGTTCTTAAACTGAGGTACCACTGTACAACTGTTTTCTTGCTCTTTTAATTATCAGCTTCGTTCACTGCTACAATAGGTAATTGCCACTTTGCACGCACACACATGCAAACCCATGTTGAATTTTCCTTACTAAGCTTTTGCCTTGTTTCCATTCTGGTGTACTAAGGAAGATCACTCAATACCGTGTCCCAGTGTTACTAAGTGTATTGGAGTTAGCTCTGTATATTATGTTGAACCTTTTATCCTAGGGCTGTGTGAGAATTCCCCTGCCCTCATTGAGGTGATGTCAGTGCAAATCCATGCAAAAATTTTGAGGTGTGGGCTATGGGATGAGTCAACATTGCTTAAAATTCTGTTCCTTTTTAGCTATATAGCAAAGTTGTGTGATTGTTTCACCATGTGTTCAAACTTTGTAAGATCAAGTTTCTCAATAACCAAGATAAAACGCTGTTCTCAAACTAGCTAATGCACAGAAGGGAGTGGGATCAAGGCTGATGTCCATAGAGGAAGAGCCAGAGAAGACCGCTCCCCTTCCCAGGGGGGCGGAGTTGCAGGCAGGCCACAAGCACTCCCCATGTTTGGTGGGGGGCATGGCGATGCTGCCCACGTCATTGGGAGTCCCAGCCACGTGACGCCCCATGGCCAACCAATTAGGTTGACCTGGGGGTGTGGCTTACCCAAATCAAACCTCTGCGCAGCCAGGGCTCAGTCTCCTTTTCTCCTCCTGTGTCAGAGGAGCAATTTGCTTGAGTGGTGGTTTGCTTGAGTGAGCAATTTGCTTGAGTGGCGGTTAGGCATTGGTAAACCTGGTTTATGGCAGGGAAGGCTGTGGCCTTCACCTGCTCCTCCTTTTTAAGGGTGTTCTGTTAAAGGGATCCAGGGTGTGTGGATCCTATCCGAAGCTCAGGTATGGGCTAGGGCCATGCCACGACCCTATTGGGGACCCTGGGGGAGGTTGCAATTGATGTATATCAATAGGGCTCCCCCTACTGGTGGTTGACCCTTATGAGACTACCTGTGTGATGGGCAGGAGTCATATATAGTCGGTTCAGTTCCAGTGCCTAAGCCAATACCGCTCATTTCTGTAACCAATGAAGTTGTGATCTAATTTATACCATTAACACAAAATATTGGTGTCCGTGTGTTTCATCTAAGGGATGGGGATGGACTCGGGACCTCACCAAGCAATAAAGATTAGAATTAATCTTGTGGTAGCAGAGTTGTGGGGAAACATTCTGGACTTTTGAAGGTTCTGTCAATCTCAGACTGGAGCATTCAGTTACTCTATTGTATGTATGATGACGTTGGTGACTTTGAAGAAAATGTATCTCCCCACCCCTCTTTCCTTCTTCCTGAAATGTCCCAGGAAAGTGAGTGTTTTGTAGGACTGAACCGAGTCTCCTTCCTGTTCGTGGGGTGGATTTTCTCTTCCTGGAAAAGGTGTAGAAGAAGACTAATGCTAGCCTTTTAGAAAGAAAGTTTGCCCTAATGTTGTTGCTGGCAAAGCATCTCTGTGGGAAGGCCTCACATACTACTGAACTGATGCACAGAAGTCTGAGATGTTGCATTTGTAGGTGGCTGCAAGTTTCCCTGTTTGATTGCTACCAATGAAGCCAACTGTTTATTTCTTAGGTATGTGTCAGTGCAATTGCTAGAACCCACAGAGACTGCTAACACTGAAATGCCTTCAGCACTTACTTCCAACCCTGATCGTACCTTTACACTACTGATTTGTAAACTCTTTACACATTACTGTATTTTTCCGTGTACAGTGGAACCTCGTTTTACATACTGCCCTCCTTACGAATGCTTTGGGTTACAAGCTCCGCTAAACTGGAAGTAGATGCCCCTTGTTGCGAACTTTGCCTTGGGATGTGAGCAGAAGTCGCGCACTGGCAGCATGGCAGCAGGAGGAGACGCCATTAGCGAAAGTGTGCCTCATGTTAAGAACGGGTTTCGGGTTATGAACGGACCTCCGGAACAGATTAAGTTCATAACCGGAGGTACCACTGTATAAGACTAGGTTTTTCTAACCAAAAAATTAAGTTTAAAATTGGGGCTTGTCTTATCCACGGGTAGTGCTGAGGGGGTGTTTTCTTAATTTGGAGTCCCCCAAAATAGGGTGTCTTATAAATGGAAAAATACAGTGCTACGTTTAAATCAAGTAAGCCAACCCCTACCCTTTCCATGAAAAGTTCACAGACGTTCTCCCATCTCAGTTTATTGGGGTACTTTCCCTTTGCCCTCTCAAATTGCTGGAAAAAAGTATTTTAACTTCATTTAATCTAGTATTTTAACCTGAGGGGACCCTTCTTGCCTAAATTAATCCACCACCTCCTGGATAGTAACTTTTAAGTGTTAGGGGCTTGAGCAGATTAGTTTTATTTCTTCCGTTGTCCTTCATTTCCCTTTTCCTCACAGCTGACACCAAAACATCTATGTCACTCAACCTGCTCTCCATTCCCCACTTTTTAATTCACACCTTCATATTATGTCACAACACCCCTCAGCCACAGACTAAATTGACTCACATTATTTAGCATTCTTTGGTTTACTTCATACTCTTTTTCTTTTGCTATCAGGACAAAAGTAAGAACTGCTCCCAGAAAAGAATGGAGAAATCCTGTATTTTTGAAAAATATATATCCACACACACCCCAATCCAAGAAAAGGTTTGAACCTCAATGAATCCAGAAGTTCCCTTGCCAGACAATGAGATGAGTCACACTAGAATTTCTTACTTCTGTGCCATAAAGATTCATTGCTAGTCATATAGGCTCACAGGCCCATGTCGGATCATTTTGGATTTTATAAAATTTTCTTTACATTTTCCAATTCCTATACTTCAGCATAAAGTCACCTGGGTGTACAGAAACTATTCCCTTATTTTTATTTATGCTGCAGGCATAAAATAGGGATATTGAAAACAGATATTCAGTTTGAAATGAAAGCAAATAGTACCTTGGTACCAAATTATATCTATTGGTAATTATTATGTATCCCTTGAAATACAAGGCAATATTGAAGGCTATAATTTTCATCAAGGCTCATCCACATATTTGGGAGAATTGAACAGCTCCTAAAGTCAAGGAGGAACAATCAACCAAACAACCCACAAAATGAAACTCATATTTTTCTTTCTTTTCCATGTGTGTTCTTGCTCATATTCACAATTATAAAGAGATTTTCAGTTAAAATATCACACAGCTGTAAGATATCACAGGTTTGAAAGCATTCCTTGAATCTCTCTCTGCCCCCCCCCCAAAGTCATATAATGAAAAAGAGTCAAAGAAACATATAATATTGTTGAAATGTGCAGAACACTGTAGGGGCAAAAGAAGTGTGTGACTGAATAGGCCCTGTCTCTGATGTGGTTCTGAAGGAATGATCATAGAAATGACTCCAGCTCCATTAAAACTGCAGGGAGTGTCAGCACTGATTTCTAGTGGGGAGGGGAGGGGAGGGGAATCCAAAGAACACCAAGCATGTGTAGAAAGCATGTGCAGGGGGGAGGCACAGATTTTCCTTGTACATAAAACCTCTGTGCAATAATCCAAAAGAGTCCAGGTAACCCTCCCTAGAGATGTAAAGGAATGCAGCAGAAAAGGGACCAGAAAAAGCGTAATGCACTAAACACCACTCATGGTTCTTTGAATCCCAGCCATGTGCTTCAGAGGGGTATTCCACAAAACCAATCCACTACATTAAAGCTAATGCAAAATTCAAAATCAAAATTGTTATCTTTCAAATAAGAAATACAGACTAGGAGATTGTGGTTGTAAGTGAGTTGAGAGTAGCAACAAACACCATTAGGTCTAAAGCCATCCAAGCTATGAACCTCATAAATATATGATTCCAGAACATATTCAAAGTATCCAGTGGAGTTGACTGAATATTCTGATGAAGATGAAAGCCAGACTCAAGAAAGTATTTGGAGATAATTCAGTGATTTATTTAAGGGAGATGGACAGCTAAGTGGAGCTTATAAAACAGAGATAGACACAAAGTGTGAAGCTGGTTAAATTACCTAACAGGAAAGTACCAGTAGCTTTATAACAGCCTCTGAAAGCAGTGTTTCAAAGTTTACAAAGGCAGGAAATTTTACAACCAGTAGAAAAGAATGGAATAGATAAATAGTCTGGTGGTGATCAGAAAACTATTGGGGAAACTCAGAAAGTGCACAGATTCAAAACTCTTAAATAAAATAGTGAAAAGAAGCCACTTTCCCTTACCTGCAACTATAGAATATCTATCAAAAGCAACATTCTTCGCCATCGGCATAAAAAATGGATTCTGGAATATTAAGCAAGGTGAACAATCCATTTTCTTTTTTCGTTTTCATTTTTACATTTGCTACACTCTTTGGGAGAAACTGCTGACTAAAGATGGCAATATTGGTCCTGGCTCTGAGATATTTCAAAATAGTTTAATACAAGGCTTGGAGGTCCTCAAAAACCACAGTTTCTCGCAATGTCCAAAGGAGGGGAACGGTGGTTTGTTTAAACTATGGTTCATGAGAACAAGCCAGCTTCCAGCTGTTTCAGATCCTCACTTGTTCTCAAACACAGTTCAAGCACAGTCCCCCAAGTTCAGAAATGGCATGCAAAAGAGGGGGTGAAAAGCATGTAAGCCTTTGTCTTGCTACTGCTCTTTCTCATAGTGGGAAATCAGGGTTTCCCATTATGTCTGAACTGGAAGTAAGGCCTATTGATTTCAACTTCCACATAAGGCTGCTCTGGACTGGAACCATTCTCAAAAGTTACAGAATAATGCACACTGCCCTGACAACTGTCTTCCTAGGAGGAAGGATGGCTTTGTCTTTTACTAGACTAGCTATCCAGAGGTGTTTAAGGATCAAGTTGTATCTCTGAAAATTCTGGACCCCGCACGCCAGCAATAAAAGAATGTACAGCAAAATACAGCTCCAGCTGGGGAATAAAAAACAGACATACTTGAGGGCATGAAATCAAATGTATCACTGCCTTGCCATGGAGAAGGGGCTTGAATAACTCAGAAAAGCTATGAGCTATGCCGTGTAGGGCCACCCAAGATGGACAGGTCATAGTGGAGAGTTTTGACCAAACATGATCCACCTGGAGCAGGAACCGGCAAGTCACTCCAGTATCCCTGCCAAGAAAACCCCATGGACAAAGACAACAGGCATATAAAAGTTATGAGGCAGTGGAAGACAGGAGTGCCTGGCGTGCTCTGGTCCACGGGGTCACGAAGAGTCGGACACAACTAAACGACTAAACAACAAACAAATAAATATATATTTTTAGCATATTACATATTTCTAAAGGTATAGGCAGAAACTTTTCAAGAGTGTTTAATTTATTTTCTTACATTTATCTCCTGCCATGCCTCAACCATGGAGCCCAAGATGGCATACATGGGATTCCCAGATGGTCACTATCCAAGCCCTGCCAAGAAACAGCCGTGCTTAGCTTCAACAATATGGTGGCCCTATGTGCCTTTAGACCATATCTGTATAATCATACTTCCAATTTTATGTTATTGATACAAAAAAAGGCAAGGATAAACAAGAGCAATTCTTATCCAGGAGTACAACTCCAGAAGAACATAAATATGATCTGTTATTACCAGTAAAAGGATACCTTTCAGGGTAGATAAAATAAGCCACGTGTTCTAAGGTAACCCCCATCTAACAAAATTATGACCTTGCTATATTTATACACATGGGTGCAGTTTTCATGCACTATTATAGTCCCATATTATATATCTTTAAATCATGCTGCGAAAGTTTCTGCCTTCCCCAAATGCCTCCTCTAATTTAGGATGAACAACTGCTCTCATAAAGAAAAACTGCTGCTGCTGCTGTTTATTGGACTGAGAAAGGTCTCGCTGACTAATGTCCCAGGATTAAATGAATGTGGAATAATAAGAGCTGATTTATTTGTGCTCTGGTAGGATAAAGCTGCCACTGATTTTACAAGAAACTATTCATCTGAGGGCTACTATAGCTAGTAAATTGTGGCTGTTGCTGAAAATAGTCTCTAGGCCTTCGTGTAATCTATGGGGTAGCTGTGTCATAATAAAGCCATTGTGGGTGTTTGGTGTGTTTAAAAGGCCCCGCTTTTATTCCTGCCCTGTGGAATTCTAAAAATTAACCTAAGGTTTCTCCTGGAAATTCTGATGGCTTCTGCTCTCAGCCTACAATTTTACATCAGGAAACAGAAAAACAAAAAAACAAAAATAGCTGTTGATAAAATAGAGCTGAGGATATATGAGGCCTAAGGCTTGTTTTTGTTTTGTTTTTATTCTCCCTAGAGGAAAAATGCCCATCGCTCAGTGATATAGCACTGTGGAATGCACCCAGAAGTCCCCAGGCCTCTCCAGTTGAAACAATCTAATATTTACACTGGTAGCCATAGGTAACAAGCAGTTCCATGCAAGAAAGTGAGCACTGCAGGTTGGAGGATGATGGTGACAGATGACAGATGGAGCTCTCTGTCTCTCTTCTGCATCCAGAAACTATGAGGGCTTCCAGAGGCAGGAAGGCACTCATCTGTGTTGAGCACTGAAATTCAGCAGCTTTCCCGTTCTCTTCTGCCAGCCTCTAGCAGGCTAGTAACTTTTGTGAGCTTATTTACAAGGCTAAGTTAAAGGTTCACAGGCAACGGGGCATGGACAGCTGCTCACAGTAAGAGTAGACTTTGGGCTGGGTGTCCTAGATGTGCCTTGGTTTAATGACAAAGTCTTTGTATAATGCAGCTTCTTGTGGATCTAGTACAGCACCACACACAGGAATTCTAAATCTTTATTTATTAATGTCTTCAGTACTATCATAAAAAGGTAAAGGTAAAGGTACCCCTGACCAACTGGTCCAGTTGTGACCGACTCTGGGGTTGCGTGCTCATCTCGCTCAAGAAGCCGGGAGCCGGCGCTTGTCTGAAGACAGCTTCCGGGTCACGTGGCCAGCATGACTAAGCCACTTCTGGCGAGCCAGCACCAGCGCAGCACACGGAAACGCCGTTTACCTTCCTGCTGGAGAGCGGTCCCTATTTATCTACTCGCACTTTGAGTTGCTTTCGAACTGCTAGGTGGGCAGGAGCTGGGACCGAGCAACGGGAGCTCACCCCGTAGCGGGGATTCGAGCCACCGACCTTTCGATCAGCAAGTCCTAGGCTCTGTGGTTTAACCCACAGCGCCACCCGCGTCCCTCAGTACTATCATAGATAACCCTAAACTTTTGGAAAGGCTTAGTCTAGGCTGGAGTGGGGTGTTGCTTGTTTGTTGTTGAATTAGTCCATCTTGCCATATGAACACAAGAAGATGGTTTCATGGGAACTGGGGTAACTCAGTTATCTCTTCTTGCCAACTACTGCTACTGTTTGCCAACTATTTAGAAGTTTAGTTGAACCATATTTTGAATGTTTTCCTGTTATGGTATCTGTCTTATCCCTAGTTTCTGGATAACTACTTACCTACCTAGATAAAGGCTAAGCAGATATGACCATATTAACCCATTTGTTCTGGACAGGGCATTTAATTGTCATATTGATACATACCATGCGGATAAGGTACAAGCCCAAGGCATAGTATCTGACTTCAGATTTCTCCTTCCTCTCACCAGTGACTCTGGGCCATGGTAGAGGGAAAAGAATCTATGTGAAGAAACACTAAATGGGTGTTCACACCAGGATGCTCCCACCCTAGGTTTTTAAAGCCAGATTTGACATGACATTAGCCACAATCCACCTGTACCCGGTTGATTTTAGAGAAATACTTTTCTTTAGTGTACTTTTCCTTAAGCTAGTTTCCATGTGATCCAAAAATGGAAGCCACCATTCTGCTGTAGCGCAAACAGTTCAACTAATGTCGTATACAGATGAAGCTTCAGCAACTTGGGGAAAGAAATAATTGAGTGAAAACATCCCCACCTCTGTTCTGATAGGAACAGTAGCAGGAGAAAGCCACTTGCAAATGCAGAGTGAGAGGTACCTCACAGTGCTTCAAGCCACTAGCTTGAATACCACCACAGTACAGTGATGCCCCGCAAGACGAATGCCTTGCAAGACGAAAAACTCGCTAGACGAAAGGGTTTTCCATTTTTTGAGCTGCTTCGCAAGACGAATTTCCCTATGGGCTTGCTTCGCAAGACGAAAAACGAAAACGTCTTGCAAGTTTGTTGCCTTGTTCATAACACCGTTAATACAGTTGCGACTTGACTTCGAGGAGCAACTCATAGAACGCGGTGTGGTAGCCCTTTTTGAGGTTTTTGAAGACTTTGGTGATTTTTGAAGCTTTCCCAAAACTTCTTTTAAAGTTTCAAAACTTTTGGGGGGTTTTTGGATTTTGGGTTGGGGTGTTTGGAATTCAAGGACTTGGTGTTGGGGAGGGGTTTGCAAGAATCTGGAAGCTTGTTTTTCTGCATTTTTATGATTTTCTGTGACCATTGGGCCACTCTGCTGTTTTTTTTTAAAAAAATCTGGATTTGAATTTCTGTGTGGTGGGTGGCTGGGGGAACAGTTGAGGAGGGGTTTGCAAGAATCTGGAAGTTTGTGTGGTTTTTTTCTGCATTTTTATGATTTTCTGTGACCATTGGGCCACTCTGCTGTTTTTTAAAAAAAATTTCTGGATTTGAATTTCTGTGTGGTGGGTGGCTGGGGGAACAGTTGAGGAGGGGGTTCTTCAGCAAGAAGCAAAGAGTGGAAGAGGAACCTTCTTCAAGTTGTCCCCCAGAGTCTTAGAAAATGTACTGTACACTTTGTTGATTTTTAAATGTTTTTCTGTCATGTTTAGAAACTTAATTTATTGTTCCTTCAATTTTTGAAATGCTCTTTACAGTATGTGTGACTTTAAAGAGCACTTAATAAACTCTTGTTGTACCAAATTTGGCTTTGTTTGGACTTTTTTTGACCATAGGAACGCATTAATTGAATTTCAATGCATTCCTATGGGATTTCGTGCTTCGCAAGACGAAAAATTCACTAGACGAAAAAACTCACGGAACGAATTAATTTCGTCTTGCGAGGCACCACTGTATATTATCTCCATATAGGAGAACGGGTGAACAGTGTGAATAGAACAAGCCACATGTTGAGTGTTCTTCAAGGTGCACTTCTCACAGCACAGGAAGCACATGGGGGGTTTTTGCACAGGAAATGATCTCCATGAAGCAAATGTGTAATGGTGACAACATCAATAGGCAATTTAATATATCGAATAAGTAACTGCTGGTGAATCTTATCCATGAAATGTATTGCACTTCACTCTATGTTTTGTGGTGTTTTTTGTTTTTGCTGTTCTTAAATGAAAGGTTATTACCCTTTTATTTTTATATAATGTTTTATAATTGAGTTCTCTGGCTTGCAGGTTCAGGAGCCCCATCTCCAATTTTAGCTATAGTCAGTCTCCTCTAGACATTATAAACATTTCTTGTAGTGTTTATTTAATGGATTCAGAGAGGAGTCCCACCGGGAAGGCCTATTGTCAAAATAATACCACAGCTTTAAGTTCCTATTAAAGACTGTGTGAACCAGGCAGTCAGATTGCTACATCACTGATAATTGTTGGAAACTTACCAAAGCCACTGAGATATCCAGGTCTTCACACTCTTGAGGCATAAAAGAAAGATTAAACTGCAAGAAACCAGTATTTTTCTGGGGCTGTTAGGCAAGCATTAAAAAAAGAACCTTACCACGCCACCTGTTTCCATACATTTTCCAAAATGTTTTACATAAACTTCTCAAATAGCTAGATATACCTATGACTAATCATCACAAAAAGGGATTAAACACAGCAAAAAAAGGGATGTTTGTTAGTCTGAGAAAGTATACCTACATCTTTCCTTTATTAGTGGTGGAAAACTCCAAATTGGTGGGAGGAAACTCATCACATGGGAGCTTTGCTTATAAGCTAACAGTATTTAGTGATTTTGTTGTGGCTGTGGCAGGGAAGGGGCTGAAAAAGTCCCCATCCTGATCCCATCCCCTGTCTCCTATCTAGAGCTGGGGGAATTGCAGAATTTGGTGCATTTTGCAACATGTCAAGTTTGGCCTTAAATAATCAGAGGTTAGTTTCTAAACCAAAAAAGGTGCTAGGTTTCAAGTAGGCAAGTTGTGTAGAAGACTTCCTACTTCTAAGTAATTGCAGGGGCTGGCTGTGATTACTCAATGAGGAAGGAAAGATGCTTTGCACATGCTCAGAGATATAATTTGCTTTCTTACGTCATGCTCTTAAACAGGCTTTGAAAGGAAAAGTGTGCAGACCCCTCAACATATCATGCAAGTTCTCCAAAGGAGAAATATAACGGAAGCAGAACAAGGAATTGTCACCCATTAGCTAATTGGTGGATAGAAAAACCATCTGCTTTTCAGAGACTGGGAGCATTTATTTGTGAAAACTAGATAACTTGTCGTGCAGCGGTAAATTAATCAAGCAGAGTCTTCTTCATAAACAGAATAAAACTTTACTGGAGAAAATAAACTTGTTCATAAACAGCATAGTTAAAGAGCACACACAGGATTGCTCATAGCAGCTGTCTTAGTCTTCACAGAGGCACAGATCTTAATTACTGATTAACTGGGGTCTGCAACAACGCACTCAAATACTCAGAGAGAGACTCTACATTACAGGCTGAGGCCCAGAGAGAAAATGGCTACTTTTTATAGGGAACCCAGGATGAGTGAGGAGTCACAGGGACTTGGCAGTTTACTGCTAGCAGGCTTGAAATGGCTGCGCAGGCCTTGTAGGCCTCCCTGCCTTACTGCTTCTGCCCTTTGCCTCACGACATAACTCTTCTGCCTGCCACTTGTAGAGCAGATAGAGAACAAACGCTTATCCAGACATTGCAATATGTTCAGAAACTGTCTGGGCAGAAATCGCTGAAATAGGTGGTGGAAGAAGATTGGGAGAAATTTAAAGATTATTTACAGAAATATTGCAAAATTAATGAATGTTAGAGTGATGTTGGATTGAAGTTAACTGGCTTCTAGCTGTACAGGCTTTAAAGTTATAAATATATCAAGATTAAGGATTAGGATTAAAAATGTTAAAAGAATGGAAAATTGGTTTTTAATAGGTAAAAACTTAATGTTACAATATATTAAGATTAAGGATTGGGATTAAAAAGGAGGGAAAGAAATTGCTGGATTAACAAACTGAATTGGAATACAAAAGAGGGAGGTATGAGGAAGTCTGGGAAACAAGTAAATGTAAAAGAAGTTATGAAAAGAACGGAATTGTTTTTAACTGTTTTTTCTTTTATCTTTTTGTATTTTGTATTTTGTATTGTGTATTTTTCTTTTTTCTTTTTAAATTTTTCTTTTTTATCAATGTGATTCTATTTTTTGTGAAACTTCAATAAATATTAATTAAAAAAAAAGAAAAAAAGAAATCGCTGAAATGTCCAAGAGAATCTGGACGCATGGTAAGCCATGTCGGAAGTCTAGAAATTTCTTTAAAATAGCTCAAAAACTTCTTCTCAACAACTTTTGTGACCAGATTTTCACTTTTTGAAATATGGCAACACTATGTTAAGCATGCTTTTAAAAACGCTGGCCACTTGCTGGAACTGCCAGCGTGGGGGACCCCAGCCCAAATCCACCTGGGGGGCTGGAGAGGGACAGTTTTAACCCTTTCCTTCCCACACCAGTTTCTTGACACCCCCCCCCCAAGCTGCTATTTGCCATTAGACACTGGATACTGGACACATGCATAAAGTTGGCTGAAGAAAGGAAGGTTGAAGGAGCTAGCACATCCCCCATTCTGGCCCTCAATGCCCTTCCTAGAGCATATCCCACACTGTCCCTTTTCTAGGGCTTCATTTCATTTCATTTCCACTGGATGGGATGTGTACATAGACGACTACATAAAGATTAGAGTCATATCCATGAAGTCCCTGGCATGCAACTCCTGGAAAATTGCCCACAGGGGAATGCAGCCCTCGAGCTGAAAAAGATTACCCACCTCTCCCATGAAGAACCACCGAGGAAGGAAAATTCAAACATGCATATTTTAATTTCTTGAGAGCCATGTGGTTTGAGGCTAAGTTGCTACTCAATAAACTACTAAGGGTGTATTGTTGCCTGAATCTAACCCTCAGAGATATTCAAATAAAGGAGTAATCCATTTCTAGGATTGGCCTTCCTCAGAGGCAACTAATGGAATGATCGAAACTAAATGGCCTCCCCTGCCGTTTATTAGCCCCTGGTACAGAGTTTATATACTGTAGGCTGCCAAACATTCATTTTTCTCATCACTTTCACTGATTTTTTCAAGGATATTTGTATGGATTAATGGAAGCGCTTTTATATGTGAACAAAAAGGACAGATGCTCACATTAATGCTTTTGTGTAAATCTGGTAATGCTTACACAGGTAATGGATGCATATTCCATTCAGATTGGCTGGGACCACTTCTATTCATTTTCTTTTACAATGTCTGTGTACTAAAGAGAACCCTTCCTGGATTCAAGCAGACCACATTATACTTTTAATGATAAATTACTGGTGCTTTTCTTCACAGCTGTATGCCCTTTCTCCAAACAAATAAACAAAACAAAAAGCTGTAAATAATAAAACTTAGAATGTCCCACTATTTTAATTTGGTTGTTATGTTGATAACCATTTTTAATTTAAAAATATGAGCTTAAAAGACACATAACTACACATTTTGTAGTTTATAATTAATGGGAAAGTTCCTTTTGACTCAAGAACTAAAAATATTCATTTTGCAACCTAGAGAGATTAAGGTTACAAATGCTGATGGGAGATACAGACAAAATCTTACTGCTACCCTCCTGCATAGGTTGATGATAGCCTCTTCGTACAATCCTAGGGAAATGACCAGAACACAAGCAAAGTATTTCTGAACTAACTAAACGTACACTCTGTAAGCCTTTTAGATGTTCTTGAAATATCTGATGAAATTTTCTCCCCTTGCACAATAGGCTTTTGTAGAATTTCTTATTAGTGAGGGCCTGAAGCCTGCCTGCATTAAACATTAATCCTTCGCATAATGAAACTGTGAGAATGGATTTCTATGAAATTTCACACATTTGTTAGTCTGGTAAGGAAGATGTTCATTTTCATGTCTGGCTCTCCAAGGTTTTCCAACTTAAGATAAAAATACCTTTAAAATCTTGACTAGATGCTCCATAAGGGGAAGCATTCATCTGTGGGTCTCAGTGCTTCAGCTATGAAGTGCTGAAAATAAAACACTATATCCAGAAAATGTTAGCATTTGAGAGCTCCATATTTCTTGTGTAGACATATTGAGCTTTATGCTGGTGAAAAGGGACTGTGCATGAATACAATCCAGCCAAAGTTAAGCATGTTTAAGTCCTGTTGATTGCAATAGGAGAGTTAACTGCGTGCTTAAGACTCTCGTTGAAATCAATGGGTCTTACAAGCACCAACTGGATTGTGCCTAATGTTTGGGAAATTCTAATTAAGCTCCTTTCATTAGGCACATTTGGGGAAAGACACAGGGCTTGGGGGTGAGGCCTGAACCCCCATTACTGTTGTTCTTCAGGGAGCTGTGCATATGGCAGCTTTAGTTCCATCAAGCAATTGGGATGTGGTTGGGATGAGAGCCAGTGTGGTGTAGTGGTTAAGAGCAGTAGTCTCGTAATCTGGGAAACCGGGTTTGCGTCTCCGCTCCTCCACATGCAGCTGCTGGGTGACCTTGGGCCAGTCACACTTCTTTGAAGTCTCTCAGCCTCACTCACCTCACAGAGTGTTTGTTGTGGGGGAGGAAGGGAAAGGAGAATGTTAGCCGCTTTGAGACTCCTTAAAGGGAGTGAAAGGCGGGATATAAAATCCAAACTCTTCTTCCAAACTCTTCTTCTTCCTTGGTGTTAAGATTCCGGCTCCCTTGCTTGCTCAGCCAGTGCTAGCCAGGCTCAATGAAAGGTGGCTTCCAGGCATAGAACCGACTGGTTGTTCCCAAGTTAAGTTAAAATTCCGTAACTGCATTTTTGGAGTTTAAAATCTGAGTGCTGCTAAGACTATCAGACAAGTGAGGTCGGGATAAGGTAGCTAATTTAAGTATGTAATAATGCAGCCTTTGCCAACCTGGCACCCTCCAGACATTTTGGACTCCAATTTGGAGGCTTGGGCTTCTTTTGGATAGGTGTGATTGGTGCTTTCCATCCTTTGACCCTCTCTATCTACAAAAGTGCAGCATTAGGCAATTGCCTAGCATTGCTACATGGGAGCAGTTACATTATGGCAGCCTTTGCCAACCAGGTGACCTGCAGATAATTTTGGACTTCAACTCCCATCAGCACCAGACAGCCTGGCTAGTAGTCAGGGGTGATGGGAGTTGTAGTCCTAAACATCTGAATGGCATAACCCTGGTTCAGGTCAAACCCCCAGACCTAAGCTGTGCAATGACCAGGAAGTGCAAACATCAAAATAAGTCAATTGTCCAGTTCCCAATTTAAGCTACCACACACCCACTTCCAAGAATGCCAGTTCCACATTCTCTGAAACATAAAATTAGCAGCCACATGATTCTAAAACAGAGGTTATAATAAGACCATAAATTTTATAAAAATGAACATCACTGGCAAAATGCCTCTTTAGGAAAACCTTAGACCAGAATAATACTAGAATAGGAAAATATTCTGCTTGCAATTGCAAAGTATAACAGCCTTCTGCTGAAGCATCTCATTCTAAATGAGAAAATTAGAAATGGAAACCAAAAGCTTTTGATACATAAAGACAAAGAAGATGTCAGCATGGGTTTGTGTTGATCTGATGAAAGATTTCAAAGACGTTTTCCCTGAAGATATAGAGAAAATTTCAAAATGCAGGGATAATAGACAAAAATAAAATTAGGCGGAGCAGCACAGTAAGCTAAAGTCATCTCTGTTATAAGCCACCTGCTCCAACCTGCTGTTTCCCTTAAAAAAAGGCAGATTTGTCTTAGCTCTGTTTAGTTTTGCTGTGAGCATCTACAGTCACCCATGAAAGAGGTCAGGCTGTGAAGAAAAAACAGCAGTTTTCTTCTGCCCTTAAACACTTTCTGGACCCACTTCAAAAAACAGAAAGTAGCCATTACTGTTTAAACATATAAGACGTCACGATTCATGACACCAACATATTTTCAATATTGCATCACTTTCCATGTCTGGCTGTAATTTTCTTCCAGCCCATCCTCAAAAGGTTTAGCTCTCCATCCACCATGTGCAAAATGTCAAGCCATGTGGACCGGCATTTTGTATGGTTGCTCTACATGAAACTCCTTTTCTCCAAGGAGTGCTTTAAAAGTTCAAGCCCGAGTGTCTTCCAGATACAACAATCTTTTTTATTTAACAACATTGCTTGGACCAAAGGTGGGTTAGGGGAGGAAATACCTATGGTTTCCTCAGCAGTGACAGCACTTACTATGGGAGCCAAGCTCTGTACGCGTGTGCATGGCCACTATGTTAGATTTCCCCATGATACAGTGTCCAATAGCAATACCAGTTGATGGGACTCACACATTGGGAATGCTTTGTTGCACTTAGGTCCTGCTTGCAGTCTTCCCACAGGCATCTCGTTGGCCTCTGTGAGAACAGGATGCTGGCCTAGATGGGCCTTTGGCCTGAGCCAGCAGGACTCTTCCAACAACAACAACAACAACAAGAAGAAGAGTTTGGATTTGATATCCCGCCTTTCACTCCCTTTAAGGAGTCTCAAAGCGGCTAACATTCTCTTTTCCCTTCCTCCCCCACAACAAACACTATGTTAGGTGAGTGAGGCTGAGAGACTTCAAAGAAGTGTGACTGGCCCAAGGTCACCCAGCAGCTGCATGTGGAGGAGCAGGGAATCAAACCCAGTTCCCCAGATTACAAGTCCTCCGCTCTTAACCACTACACCACACCGGCTCCCAGCATTTCTTAAGATATGCTGCACCTCAGAGATCAAAACATCTGATTCCATCTGGTATGCCAGTTCTCTGCTAGAACCTTTGAAAATCAGCAACTTAATCAACCACAAAAGCAGAAGCATCAGTTGTCTCTAGGATGCCCATCTATGGTCATATTTTATTTTTATTTACTTTTTAAAAAAAATCTTACTGTGTTTTATGTATTCATTTTCATTTATTGTCAGCCATTTTGTAGGCCTGTTGTTAGACATAGAGGAGGAATATAAATAGTTTGCATAAATGAATAAAACATGTATCAGCCTGGTCAGTAGCAGTTTAGAGGTTATTATGAAAGTAAGAATTGCCTTTTAATGTGCAAATACAAAGAGATAACATCCCTGTGCTTTTGGTGAAAACAGAGCATCCAAATAGATGATGTGCATGTGTTCTTCACCATTTTGGGATATTGTTTCCATCATCTGTGTGAACGTTTTTGTAAAAATGCAGTTCATCTTTCAAGGGCTTTCTCAGTGCTTATCATATGTATCATAATTAATAGCTGAGGGAGGCAGTGAATAGAGCTTTGTCCTTGTAGACCAATACAAGTAAAGACAATGGTAAAAAAGAAAAAATCAATAATGTCACTAGGTCAAGGACACTTGATAGTGCAGAACCAATAAATGCCTTTTGCCCATATTTACACTGAGTGCTAAAAAAAATAATAAAGAACTTTCAGTAGCTATAATATCTACTCACACAAAAACCCTTTTCTTCCATAGATGTGAAAGTTACTGAACGGTACATATTTCTTCCAAGAGGCTTCTTCTGTCACTGCATTTTCAATCATGAAGTGCTTTTGCTGCTGATTTGGCTATTATGGGAAGAAAATGACCTGTTAAAGCTGTTTTGAGGAGCTAACCATTTTGCATATATTGTAATAAAATGTGAACCATAAAGAGAAGTGGAAAGGATGAAATTTAGCAAAACTCAATACAAGTGTGTTTATTTTAGGTCTCTCATATTACAGTCTTCACAATCGAGACTAAAAGGGAAAAGAGGGCATCAAGATCAGTATTTTGCAGATTAATCAGTGCAGATTAATGAGTTCTGCATGACAAGGTAAAACGTGTACACAGTGGGTCTTTTGTGTTCAATCTTCCAAACTCATTAGCTACGTACAATCTACTCACATCTTCAGTTATCCAAATTCATCGACTACAGTTCAGCAAGCCCTTGCAAACATGGAGTTCCACATCTGAAAGTTTCCTGTGCAATGCATTAGAAAGGGCGACTTCATATGTGCAATTGGACCTGTACATGAAGAACTGAATGGGAAAGCTTTCAAGAGCTCCATGTGCACAAGAGGGTCTGTGGCAACTGTCTATTGTTCCACGTAAAAAAAAGGTGTGATTCAGTGAATGATGGGCCAAAGGGTATTCATTGTCCACTCTTGGGCAGTAAGGCAAAAATTGCCACTCAGACTGGCTGGGGCAACCCAATCAGATGGGTGAGGTACAAATAATGAAATTATTATTAATGTCCCTCCAAATTGGATTAACCTTCAGGGCGAGGAAAACCTCAGCACTTTGGAACTGCTTTATCACTTTGAATATTTAAGGGCAAAAATATTGAGAAAGCAGAATTTCTTGTAGTCTGCTACATTGTTTTATCATGATTGTGTGTTTGTGTATATGTGTGTGGTATTTGATCAATATTCTTTTTGTTCAATGTTTGATCAGTGTCTAAGAGCATGTATTATTTGCACTCAAACTCTCATTTTGTTTTTATTAGCTTTGAATAAAAGTAATATTTTATAACATTTGAATAAAAATATACTTTTTAAAAAGTAAACACTTCAAAAGCAATTTGATACATTCCATCACGTCAAGATTGCTTCTATTTTAATTTTGTTTGCACTGTTTTATCAATTCAGATACACATGGATAACATGGGTGAGATGATGCATATGAAATAAAGCAACATAAAACTGTAGAAAACTTTTATATTCCATTTCCAACCCTGAAATTAATTCTTTGAAGTATTCAAGTTAAACTACCATTTAGGAGAAGTGAAATGAAGAACATAGCAAACAAGAGGAACAATAAAAGAACTGAATGGGCAGGGGAATACATTCACCCTACATTGTTTCCAAATTTGGTAAGGGCCCCAGCACTCTCCCAGTAATGTCATAAGGAGTGCAGGCATACCTAGAAACCTGAGGTATGTCTTCCAACATGAACTTGGACCTCCTTGCTACCCATCTCCGTTGAATCACCTAATGGAGATAAAGAGGACTTCATCTTATCAGGAAGTGGGCTGAACTCTAAAGACCCTTCCTAGGGCAGATCAGGTCATGCATTACAGGGGAGTCCCTTCCAACTCTACAGTTCTATGTTTATCTCCATTGGAGGTGAGCAGTTTGCACTGATAATTTTTGAACATGGTGAGCTGTAGAGGTTTCATATATTTTAGGCCTAATTTGGAATCCATAGCATTTGTGCAAACTAAGAGGAGACCAAAAAGAGTGGAACTTCCCTGACTGTGCTAGGTAGAGCTAGTCATCACTGGTTCTAAAAGGACATCCAGCAATGTAGGCATGATGTGCCAGTGTGTTAATGGAAACAATTGTCTCCCTCCTGTTCCATTACAAGCAACTGACCATTGCAATATTGAATAGAAATATCGAATGTATAAAGATGATTGGGCTGCTGAAGCCCTTCCCCAATATCATTTATTAGAAACTGCTATTATTTTATTTTTTATTTATAAAATTGTTTCTATACCGCGATATCATATAGCATCATGGCAGTGTACATTGCTAAAACATAAAGCACTATTAAAAAAATAAAAATTCAGATAATCAATAAGCTGACTAGCTAATTTAAATAAGTAATGAGCAGCTGCAAAAGTATGTCAACATTAACAAGTACAGTGGTACCTCGGGTTACATACGCTTCAGATTACAGACTCCGCTAACCCAGAAATAGTACCTTGGGTTAAGAACTTTGCTTCAGGATGAGAACAGAAATCGTGCTCCGGCGGCGCATCGGCAGCAGGAGGCCCCATTAGCTAAAGTGGTGTTTCAGGTTAAGAACAGTTTCAGGTTAAGAACGGGCCTCTGTAGCACAGGGGTGCATCCTGATTATGGTGGTGATTAAATAGGCTTCCTACCTTTTGTCATATCATTATTGATTTGCAAAGTGTATACAATTTGCAAAAATTAAAGGGCTTATTTTTAGCAATACCGACTCATGAACACCATCATATCACCACAGGTAAGAGGTGTACATATAATTTGCAAGAATTAAAAATTGGTTAGTTTTATTTTAACAGCATTCATAAGCTGTACTAAAGAAGTGAGTCTGTCAGCATTCTGCATCAAAAAACTTAATTCTAAAACAGCTGTTTATACTTCAAGTGTAAGAAAAAGACACTATACACTGTATAGAATACAGCAACTAGGCAAACAGTGTTGAAGGGAAAAGGAGAAATTGCAGTAGAAGCTTGTTTGAACCAGAGCATGTGGGGCTCATTTTCATGCATCTTTCATGAGCTAACTTGTTACCTAAAAGTAAAGGAAGAGCAGTGTCAGGAATGAGAGAGTGAAAAAAAGTACTATTACAATGCAATGTGATATTTAGTAGTCTTGAGGCAAAAGAGAGGAGCATATTTTCACTCACTGTTATTCCCACCTATATCTGCAATAATCATGTGTTGGGAGGGGAAGAGACTGCAAAATGGGTTGACAAAGTTCTCCCATTGAAAATGAGAGCAGGAAGCATTGCCCTCACTCTGATTGGGCTTTGTGATGTGATTAGCTACTTAGCACCATTATGGTATCACACCAGCCTCTCTAACTCCTCATTATCTCATGAGCTCCTACAGTCTCTAAGCCAGAGCTTTCCAAACTTTTTATGTTGGTGACACACTTTTTAGACATGCATCATTTCACAACACATACAGTGGAACTTAATCCATTCCAGAAGACCCAAAAACTGAGGCGCAAAGGGCTGTCTGCAATTTCAATGGATAAAATTGGGGGGGGTGGGACCTCAGTGGAAGCCATTTGACTTTCGAGGTGCGTTCAAACACGGAAGCAATTACTTCCGGGTTTTTGTCGTTTGAAAAGCGAAACGTTTGGCTTCCAAGATGCTAAAAAACCGAGGTTCCACTGCAATTCAATTTTACTAGCAAACCAGAGGTTAAATGAACCTCTTTTAAGCCCCAGGGGAAGTATGGGGAGTGTTTGTGTGACACACCTACACAATGCAGCCAACACACTAATGTGTTGCGACACAGAGTTTGGAAAGCTCTGTTTTTGTTGGTCTTGCTGATGTCATAGTGCCTTCTTTCCTTCTCTCTCTGCCCTACTCTTCTATATCCTTATTCAGCTCTTGTTTCCTCCTCTTCCTTCCTCACCTTCTTATTTGTAGCCTGCTGCCCCATCCAAGGACCCTCATCCTCAGCATCTCTTTCTCTTCCTTCTCGACTTCCAGCTGTTTTCCAACTGTTTTCAGCAGCTGCAGTCAAACCAGGAAATTCCACCATGCATGGAAGATGGTGAGTAGATTCAAGCACTGCTGCTCCACTCCACAAGCAAATATTAGTGAGGAAAATCTTTTGGATAATATTTCGGGGTTCCCCAAATGCCCCCTTTTAACACTAAATATGTTTGCGCATAAAAAGCCAGCTCCACTTCATAGTTAACTCCTCAACATTATCAAGAATTAGAAAATATATACCTAATTGTACACATCTAAAACCACCTGTGTTTCAGGTTTGGTTATTTATTATGCAATGATGCCAAATATCAATGTATACGTTTCTAGGGTTGCCAATCATCTGGATTTTCCATTTTTCTGGTTTTTAGGGGTAAAAATTTCTGTTCATTTTGGGTTGGGGTTTTTGTTCTTGTTGTTGTTTTAGAATATGCAAAAATGTCGGGGGGGGGGTTCTGTGGCACGGAAGAGGCTCAGAGCAGTCACTTTCCTTGCCAGCCGCATCCCTCCCCAGTGCCCTCCAATGTTGCTCTCTCTTTCTCTTGTGCACACCAGGTGTGTGAAAAGGAAGGGATAGAAAGTGTAAAAACTCCCTGTAAGCCAACCTTCTCCAACCTGATGCCCTTCAGAGTTGTTGAACTACAACTTGTCATCCCAACTAGTGGCCATGCTTAGGCTTGCCATGTGTCCAGAAAATTCCAGACATGTCAGGAAATCAGATGCCTAAAATTTTTGAATTTTAAGAGATCTCAGGAATTTCCAGGATTTATGTCAACCTGAATTTATTTATTTATTTATTTATTGGTTGGTTGGTTGGTTGGTTGGTTTATTTGGTTTTCTGGTCCCCACCCCCCATTTTTTCAGGTTTTTAAAAAATAATAAATTCTGGGAGAGGCTGCACCCCAGTGGCAGTGCAAGTGATGAAAGGTCACTTCCCTTGGCCAGGGAGACGGGGAGAGAGTGAGGAAGCGGGGGAGGGAGAAAGGCAACTCAGCGGGGGGGGGGACTTAACAACGAATGTTATGGACGGGCAAAGGAGGTCGCTGGTCCCAACTGTGTGTGTGACAGTGCTTCAAGAGGAGAGGCACAGGGAGGGAGGAGCTGAGAGGATGTAAACATTGGCATCACGTGATCACATTACAGTCATGTTTCCTTCTCTTTCGGATGCTGGGTTGTGTTGGGTGGGTCTCCGAGAGGCAGAACAAGGAGAGGCAACTCGGTGGCCAATGGTTTCATTGCAGCGGCCATGGCACCAGCACAGTTATCCCCTGTCCTGATGCCTTGCCTTTGTTCCTTCCCTAATATTCCTCTCTCTTTTTCACAAACACACACCTATGGCTACACAGCAGCCAACCGGATTTCCAGGGGCAGGGAGTGGAGAGTGTAAATGGTTGTGGTGCAGGAAATCGTGGGCTTGCTGCTGTAAAAGCAAGGAGCATAAGGGAGCATTGAGTTTTTTAAACTGAGGCAGGTAAAAGAAACACCTCTTCCCATCTGTGTGAAGGAAATGTGAGCTTGCCATTCCTATTCCTTCAGCAGAATGCTGGGATCTCACTCTGGGGTTGTGTTGAAATCTTCCACATCTGTTTGGAATAGTTTCCACATGAGACAGCTGCAGAAGGAGCCAGAGGTTCTCAGTTGACCCTGGTTGTTCCTGACTAGGGACAGGCGTACCTGTCAATTTTGGGTTTTCTTAGTTTCTCAATTTCCATTCTTAAATTCAGTGCTCTACATTTCCACATCAGTTTGTTATCTTTTCTAAAGTCCCCATGAAAAATCACCAACATTGTTTGTAAGTAATTTTGCCTAATATTCACAATTTTGCAAAGCAACTTACCATAATATAATGCAGTTTTGTATGTTATTTTCATTAATATATGCATTTTATGCACACATTACATGCATTTTTGAACACATAACTTGGTTGATTAACTGAATTGAAATACTAAGAAAAGTGTGAATTCCAAAGGATGGATGTCTCTGTTTCGGAAAGTTCATATTAGAGAGGTTCACCTTTAAATGCAAACTGAATCAAATTTCTCTTCCCCCACACCATAATACAGTGACCTGGCTTATCCCACCAGCATCAGGTAAGTAATAGAGGCAGAGTTTGATGTCCCACATTCTTACAGCCTAAGGAAAATTTCACATATGCATGTTCATTGCTCAGTGACTGGACATTGTGCTGATTTGCATATGTGAAATAGTCGTCACAGATCAAATAATCACATATCAAGCAAAACAGTTACAACTGTCACATGATTTCACCTCCTCAAAGTTATTTCTCACTGTCTCTGATGGAGAAAGTTCACACATTCAGCTACAAGTCACAGAGTGATGAGACATTAAGGGCCATGTTAATGAAAAATGTATGTGCATGTGCAAATTTCTCCTGAGTTCAACATTAGATTTTTTGCATGTATAAGACAAATGCAAAAGACAGATGAGTGTGGAAGGACAACAGATACAGATAAATCGTGTTCTAACTCCCCGACCTCTGTGGTCTAAACCACTGAGCCTCTTGGGCTTGCCGATCAGAAGGTCGGCGGTTCAAATCCCCAAAATGGGGTGAGCTCCTGTTGCTCGGTCCCAGCTCCTTCCAACCCAGCAGTTCGAAAGCATGCCAAAAAGTGCAAGTAAATCAGTACCGCTGTGGTGGGAAGGTAAATGGCGTTTCCGTGCGCTGCTCTGGTTTCAGTGTTCCATTGCGCCAGAAGTGGCTTAATCATGCTGGCCACATGCTGACCCAGAAAAACTGTCTGCAGACAAACGCTGGCTCCCTCGGCCAGTAAAGCAAGATGAGTGCTGCAACCCCAGAGTCTTCTGCAACTGGACTTAACTGTCAGGGGTCCTTTACCTTTACCTTTTTACCATTTTCTCCCCACCCAAGACATCCTTTGGCACTGATTGATTGAACATACATACATACATACATACAGGTTTCCTTAAAAGGCTCAATAACTTTGCGGGTGTCAGGAATTTTAATTTTTTACTGGGACTGATAGGAGCAACATCTGACAGCATCCCATCATCAATTCAGCACCCTCCAGTAACTTCTCACCTCCATGCTCAAGAAAAGCTCACTCATATCTTGTTCAACAAAGGTAACAAATGGAGAAACAATAAAGACTCTCCATGATGTGTCATGTGGCCCTCAAGTCTTAAATATGCACCTACATGATAGATATTCTGACTAGGACAGGTCACACAGGCATGTCATTACCAGTAAATAGTTAAATGAATCATGATAAGGCTGCACAGTTGAATAGAGTTGGACATATAGTAGCTGCTTTTTGGCTAAGTAATATCACCTCAGAAAGCATATCTAAAGCAATAGTATGCTTCTTTAAAGGATTTGCTAGTGTTTTCACATTATTTCAAAGAGGATTAAGTAAGATGATGAAAGATATGGATACACATGTGCCTACTTCTTCCTTCCCAAAGTTGTCGCACATGGATTCTATATTGTAGCATTTTGGAAGAAATGGGTGTGTCAGTTAAAAGGGCACACTAACATTCCATAGTCAGGGTCTCTCAAAAGACCAGATCAGAACAGATGCAGAAATACTTCTCTAATTCTTTCTGTAGCAATAGGCAGTAGACCTTCCCTTCCCAGCTTATCTGATTCAGACCTTGGCTTTCTATTTGTTTCATTTCCAGTAACTTTGTTCTATTTCCCCCTTTCTCAAATCCTGGCTTTTTGCAGATGCAATAGTCCTGTCTTGCTTGAACAGGATTTATCTCAAGTGCCAGCCCCCGCAGCCTGGTGTGATAATATGTGCAGCCAATAGGCACTGGAAAAAAATGTCCTTCTGTAAACACAATATAGGTGAACCTGTTTGTTGGGACAGGAAGGTGCATGAAAGGACATTGCACACCATGCCCCAAAGGGAAAATATGATGTACTGTCTCAGGCAGGGTATTAATCATAGCTGATATTTCTGGACAATAAAGTAAAGTAATCCTAGCGAACAATCTCTCTTCAAGGGTAAGAGAGAGAGAGAATAAAGAACTACCAATATTACATGAGCTGGCGTAGCTTCAGACAGCAGAAAGCTAACGGCATCCAAGAGATCTCATTTGGAAAGCAGATTAATAATAGCTACATGGTTTATTGCAGCTAAAGTAATTTTTCCTCTGATAGTGTCAGGGTCATTTTCCTGCATGCACCTGGGCTCCCTGTAAACTTGGCAAACCTGTAGTAAGTGAAAGCATTTGTCTATTTAGACTCGGTCAGTTCACAAGGTCAGACCATTTCTCCCTGAGAAAAGAAAACGCTAGCATGATCTCAAAGCCCCCAGGAACTGGATGTGCAGACAGCGGTATTGTTACCCACTGCTCAGAAGACACCTGAGCTGTTAGATGTCTGATAGGAGCCAATATGAAGAAATGAAACACAAGCTAAATGATGAAACACTGCCGCTGCCTCTTTAAAGGGATACACCGCTAGTTTCTTCTAAGTGGGTCCACTGCAGAGAGAAGGGGAACACTCAAAAGCTTATGTGAAAGCCACACCTTCTAAGTTAGCTGGAAGTTATAGTGTGAAAATGGGCTTGCTGTGAATACTCAGCAATGTGGGCCATGTGTTTTGCACATCCCAAGGGCCAGTCTTTACTTTCTTTTGCTTCACATGTTCTAGGGCCAAGAGCTGTGGCAGGTTTGGGGAACCTTTGGTGCTTCCCATGTTGCTGAACTACAACTCCCATCATCCCTGGCCATTGGCCATGCTTGGTATGGCTGGTGGGAATTGGAGTTCAGTTTTGTAGGTTCTGACCTACAAAACAGGCAATGGCTCAGGGCTAGAGCAAATGCTTTGTACACAAAAGCTCCCAGGTGTGATCCCAGGCATTTCCAAATACAGTGGTGCCCCGCAAGACGAATGCCTCGCAAGACGGAAAACCCGCTAGACGAAAGGGTTTTCCGTTTTTGAGTTGCTTCGCAGGGCGAATTTCCCTATGGGCTTGCTTCGCAAGACGAAAATGTCTTGCGAGTCTTGAGATTTTTTTTTGCTTCCCCCCCCCTTTTTCTAAGCCGCTAAGCCTTTAATAGCCTTTTAGCAGCTAAGCCGCTAAGCCGATAAGCCTTTAATAGCCACTAAACTGCTAATAGCGCTAATCCGCTAAGCCGCTAATAGGGTTGCTTCGCAAGATGAAAAAACCGCTAGACGAAGACACTTGCGGAACGGATTAATTTTGTCTTGCGAGGCACCACTGTAGGACTGGGAAATATTTCTGCCATAAATTATGGAGAACTGCTACCAGTAATTATTGTCTATTCTGAACTAGATGGTCCTTAGAAAACGTTAGCATTATTAGGTTCAATATTAGGACAAACGCTCTTTGTGCATGTTCACGTCCCTCTTATTTTTTATGTTTGTTATGTTCTGTCTGGAGTCAGGATTGGTTTCTTTTTATTATACAGTCCATAAACAATATTCTGCATCAACATCAACATTTTTTATTTCCTTCACCTCTTCTCGACTGAACCCTGACATTCTCCAGAAGCCCGCTTAGCAGTGCCTTCTAGAATATCCTTCTGTGCAATGGGATGTCATTGTCATAGTGAAATGTAATGTGCAGCCAATGAAATGCTAATGTCATACAATTCAATAAACAAAGTTATGGAAACAAGCAAAAATCAAACCCAAAACTATTTGACAGGTTGTAAAATTCTGATTCTCATCCTCTTCCTCAAAGGACTGATAGGTTTATTGGTTGGTTGAGTTTATTTATAGCCACTTTTCCACATTGAACTATGTCCCAAGTGGTTTATAACAAACACTCATTTATGAAACAACAAAATACTGACATAGCAGTAAATTCAAATAGGACAAAAAGAACCATTCAACAAACATAGAATAAACATAGAATAAGCTCACTATTACAAAAAGAAAGAACCTAGACTTAAATACATTAAAATAGAGCAAAAAAGCAAGTTAACAGACAATATATACAGTTCCAGGTGCTAGTTTTACTGTACTTCACTCCTGGCTTAAATATCATTCAGAATTTGCAGGACCTTCTCACCACCAGGCTAGATGATTCTCATTTGGCTCCTTCATCTCTCCTTGCAGAAGAGAATGGCAGCAGCAAAAGGGAAGCGCTGAAGAGGGGAATGATTGTGAGTTCTCTTCCCCAGTCTCCCACAGGCTCTCAGCATTTAAACATAGATTTGCTTCTTTTATCCATTTCATTGTAATAATGTGTGTACATTGTCATTAGAAGGTTTCAGAGAATGAGTCATCCTTCAACTTGGATGTTTACAGGGAGTGGAAAGGAATGCAGAAGTACACCCAGCAACCTATTAGGAGAAGTAAGAACAATTTGGCTACCAAACTACAAATCCAAGAACCAGTGCTAGATCCACATTTCGGAGTGTGGGTGGGCATGGGGGGCTTTGGGCATGATGCCCTCTGTGGTGCCACTTCCTAAGTAGTCCCACCTCTTCCCTGCTGTTATCGCTGCTGCTCATTCACTTGCCCTCTCCCTTTGGCCCAGGCCACACAGTCGTCCAAAGAGAGGGGACAAGGCAAGTGCACACTGTGGGGGACAGGTGAACAGGCAGCGAACAGCAATGGCAAAGCGAACAATAAATCTACGGGTTGTCATTGAGTGTGGGCCTCCACAGGTGCCCACCTGGATCAGATGTCATATAGTCCTTCCTTTTAAACAGCCATGCCTAGTGTCAGCAGGCAGTATCCTTGAGGAGCTGCCAAAACCTTAGTGCTCCAGCAAGGCTCACTTCTGACACCTGCCCTAAGCCCTCCAACCAGTCGGTGCCTGGGAAGTGAGTCTCTATTTAAATTTCCAACAATGCTGCGGAACAACACTACATTGGAGCTGCTAGGGGAAATCAGTATGGCAGTTCACCCCCCACTGTAGCTGTTTTTGCCAAGGAAGTCAGCTTGGAGGCATACAATAGGACACTGAGCCCCCTTAAACCTGCAGTTGGACCTATAAACAGTGCTTTTTTTCTTTAAAAAATGTTTAGGGGTACTCTCATTTTCCTACTCATATTGAAATACTGCCCCTCAATGAGGCCAAACTTAGATTCACAAAATGTTTAGGGGCATGAGCACTGCTGCGTCTCCCCTGAAAAAAAGCACTGCCTATAAACATTGGGCGTCTTCTCCTCAGTTGCAATTCTGTAAGTCCACAAAGTGGGGCAGGCATGTGGGCAAGTAAATTAATTTCCATCTACTTTGCTGTGTGTGTGTTAAATTTATATACTACCCTTCCTTGCAAAGGGTGGCAATCACATCAGTGTTACAACAATACAATTAAAAATCAAAAAATTAAAAACTAATAAGAATCACATACACTCACAGCAAATAGTTTCAAAGTTGCCAGGAGCAGAAACCTTCAGCTGCCTGGGTAACCAGGAATGTTTTTAAATTCTTCCTGAAAGTTAACAAAGAGGGGAACAGACAAATCTCACCAGGGAAGGTACCCATCATTAACATTGCCCATTTAAATCACCTTGCCAGTTCGATAAGGTCAACCTTACCATCTGCCTCAGATAGCAGACTGTTATTTAATTCATGTTAGTATCTATATTTTTTAATCACTGGGGAGGTCTAGGTCACAGTGGATGGCTACCTGGATTTTCATGCACCTTAAAGCTGTCTGTAAACCCAATACCAGGTAACAAAGCTGAACAGAAAATGACCAAGCATACTTAAGCTGTAAGTGTGAGTGAAGCTCAAAGGCAGTCTAACCACCCTACCAGGCTCAACTGAGGACAGAGGCTCTAAGGCAAGCATAGGCAAACTCAGCCCTCCAGCTGTTTTGAGACTACAATTCCCATCATCCCTGACCACTGGTCCTGTTAGCTAGGGATCATGTGAGTTGTAGGCCAAAAACATCTGGAGGGCCGAGTTTGCCTATGCCTGCACTAAGGTTCCTCCATCCTTTTTGTGTCTTTAAAATGGGGTATTTTTAACAGATTCCTTCCCACTGGGGTCAAGAGGGAAGGAATTAGGAGTACTCCTGAGTTTATCCATCTCCCCACTTTGAGAGCGGGAGAGATGTAAGGGGACCTTTGGATCTTGCAGATCTAAGCTGCTTCCTATTCTTCCCCCAGCTCCCCTTCCTTTTAGCCTTATTGGTTTCAAAGCTCTGCCATTGGTTGGGCCAGGGACCTAGGGCATCAGGGGATCAGGCAGTGGTGAAAAGGGGTGCTCTGATACTGGATCCCCTCTTGGATGTTAGAGCTCTGTCTTGGCATCAGAGGAGGAAATTTGGCCTATCCTATGGACCCAAGGGAGGATTGGATTGCAGTCTAATAATAGCAGCATTTAAGCATGGGTTTTACTTGCTTACATTTTTATCTTTTATTTTTAATCTGAGTTTTGTAGCAAGATTTTTTTTTTAATGGAGCATAGTTGATCTATAACAAGTCTGCCTTGCAGGTAAATGTCAACTTGGACATAATGGAGTCATACTGTTATCTAAAAGGTAAATAAGGAGGAAAGTAAACATGTTGGATTGTTGAGTAGCTTACTATGGCTGCTAAGGACTAGGTATAGTATGGGACTTTGAAGGTGGGGAACTTGAAAAGCAAACCCCACCGGCTCAGAAACTCTGGCACCATTTCATGTTGGGTCCAGCCTAACTAAGCCTAACTTAAAATAGGATTGCTCTCCTGCCTTCTTTGCCGGTGCCACCTTCATGCCC